GGAAGTGGTCCAGTCAAAGCAAAAGTGGACTGGTCGAGAGCAGAGGTCATGGCATCAGTTTTTTGAAATACTCAAGGAATTTTTCTTGTTGGCTTTCTGGAGTGCCAAAGAACAATAACATCTGCTTATAATGATAGTGTTTTGAGAAAGTTAGCTAAAGTTTTGGCAGAAAAAACATCTAGAAAAGGTTTACCGAAGTCCTTCTCCACCACAATAATGCTCCTGCTCATTCCTTTTATCAATTAAGGGCAATTTTGTGAAAGTTTTGATGGGGAATCATTAGGCATCCACCTTACAGTCCTGATGTGGCTCCTTCTTACTTATTTTTGTACCCTTATCTTAAAAAGTCTTTAAAGAGCACCCATTTTCCTTAAGTAAATAATGTAAAAAAGTCTACATCAACATGGTTAAATTCCCAGGACCCTCAGTTCTTTAGGGATGGGCTAAATGGCTGGTATTATTGCTTACAAAACTGTCTTGGACTTGATGGAACTCATGTTGAGAAATAAAATTTGTAATTTTTATTTTTATCTTTTTTCTTTTTGTGGAGAAAAGGTTTCTCTTTGTTGCCCAAGCTGATCTCCAACTCCTGGCCTCAAGTGAGCCTCCTGTTTATTTTTATCTTTTAATCCATTTTTTTTCCACAAACTTTTTGAAGTCCCCTTGTAGTCTCATAATTATTTTCCGCTTTGCTGAATATGTAGTATGTCTTCTTTTTCATGCCTAATTGTGTCTATTTTTGCTGTATCCATTTTACTTTATCAGACTCATGAGTTTATTTATTTTGTTTTCAAAGAACCAGCTTATGTAATTGTGCACACTTTCTATTCTTTTTGTTTGTTCTCTGTTTCATTGATTTTGGCTACTAGATTATTTTTTTAAATCCTCCTGTCTCAGTATACTTTGCTAATTTTTAATTTTTAAGATGAAAAAATTAGTTCCTTTTTGTTTTTCTTATTTAATAATAAATTTATTTAATGGCAAACATTTCATTTTGGATTCAGCTTTCAAATGTCCTATAAGTTTTGGTATGCAGTCTTCTTTTCACTGCTTCCAAAATAGTTTCTAACTTACCTTTGGTTTTCCCCTAATTTTTATTGTGTTATTATCTGAGAAGGTAGTCACTAGTATCTCTACCTTTAAAATTTTATTTTTTTTAAATATTCTTCATGAGAAAATACATGGTATATATAAATGTTCTAAGGACATACAAAAAAAAAGAGAGAATATGGTCTGTTAGAGAAATACGAGATTCTAAATGTAGCCATTAAAGCAAGGTAATTTTGTGCTTTATTGTGCTGTTCCCCTAGAATTGATCAATTCTAAGAGAAATATACTTATGTCTGCCGCTAAATACTTATCTATATTATGCATTTCTAATGTTTTTGCTTTACATGATGTACCAGTATGATGTTTGGTGTATAGAATTTAAAAATTCTACCTTTTTCAGGCCAGGTGTGGTGGCTTATATCTGTAATGCCAACACTTCAGGAGGCCAAGGCAGGAGGCCAGGAGTTCAAGACCAACCTGGCCAACATAGCAAGCTCCTGTCTCTACAAAAAAAAATAAAAATAAAATAAAATAAAGATTAGCTGGGCATGGTGTCACATGCCTGTAGTCTTAGCTACTTGGGAGGCTGGGGCAAGAAGATCACAAGTCTAAGAGTTCAAGGTGGCATTGAGCTATGATGATGCCAGTGCCTACCAGCATGGGTGACAGAGTGAGACCCAGTCTCTGAAAAAATAAATAAAATAAGTACAATAAAATTATACTTTTTGCATAAATTGTACTTTTTATTTTTTATTTTATTTTTTTTGAGACAGAGTTCCCCTCTGCCGCCCAGGCTGGAGTGCAGTGGTGCGATCTCGGCTCACTGTAACCTCTGTCTCCTGGGTTCAAGCAATTCTCCTGCCTCAGGATCCTGGGTAGCTAGGATTAAAAGCACGTGCCACATGCCTGGCTAATTTTTGGATTTTTAGAAGAGATGGGATTTCACCATGTTGGCCAGGCTGGTCTCGAACTCCCAACCTCAAGTGATCTGCCTGTGTTGGCCTCCCAAAGTGCTGGGATTACAGGCATGAGCCACCACGCCTGGCCAAATTGTGCCTTTTAAAAATTACATAATGTCGATCTTTACCCTGTTTAGTGTTTTTTATTTTAAATTCCACTTACTCTTATATTATTGGTGGCATTTCTGCTGTCTTGTTTGCATTTGCTTGAGATATTTTGCCCACTATCTTGTTAACTTCATCATTTTAATCTTTTGAACAGCTTTTATATTTACATACTTTTTTTTTTTAGACAGAATCTTGCCCTGTCACCCAGACCGGAGTGCAACGGCACCATCTCGGCTCACTGCAACCTCCACCTCCTGGGTTCAAGCGATTCTCCTGCCTCCCAAGTACCTGGGATTGTAGGTGTCTGTCACCATGCCTGGCTAATTTTTTAGTATTTTTTAGTAGAGACAGGGTTTCAGCATGTTGACCAGGCTGGTCTTGAACTCCTGACCTCAAGTGATCCGCCTGCCTTGGCCACCCAAAGTGCTGGGATTACAGGTGTGAACCACCATGTCCAGCCTCAGGTAGTTCTTTATAGCAGTGTGAGAATAATACACTCAGTATATTCTTATTCATTTACGTATAACTATGCATACACACGGCAGGGTGTATTTTTGCTCATTCTGTTTTTTCTCTCTTTGATTTTGAGGTGCTTGTACAGATTAATTGTTGTCTTTTCTTTAATATCTTTCTCAGACGAGTCATGTGAGTGACCCTCTGAATTACTGCACATTCTCAAAGACCTTTTTTTCCTTTGACAGATTAATTATATCTGTCAACCTAAAAACCATGAGATCTACAAATCTGGAAAGGAGAACTTTATTTCTTGAGTAGGGCTGCAACCTGTAGTCTGGGAAGCAGAGCCTCCAGCTAAGACCAAAAGCAGACAGTTTGAGGGAGGTAGGGTGGCACAGGAGTTTTATGCTAAATGGGTTGGCTAAACACATATTTAACAGGCTAAAGAAGAAACTATAAATATTCATGAAGGGGGGGGGGTTGTGGTCATGCATGGTAAGCAAACATACATGTTACATACATTCACTTTGGGGTGGAGACTTAACGTTAAAATGCAGTAAAATTAGGCTCTATACATCAAAATGTGAAACTTAGGACACAGAGGTGCTGTGTGGGTAGCCTCTGTAAACCGGCCAGAAACATGGTCAGTGGTTATTTATCAGGAAGGAATACTTTGTGAAACTGGTAAGCTGCCATGTCTGTACTGCACAAGGGAGGGGAGTCTGGCCATAGTGTCAGGTGGTAGTTGAAGCTGAAGTTAGTGGAAGGGTTTTCCATTCTTTGTTTTCCAAGGCTGCTTTCTGTTTAACTCTTAAGAAAAGATCCAGGGCCGGGTGTGGTGGCTCACGTCTGTAATCCTAGCACTTTGGGAGGCCAAGAAGGGTGGATCATGAGGTCAAGAGATCGAGACCATCCTGGCCAACACGGTGAAACCCCGTCTTTACTAAAAATACCAATAATAATACCAATAATAATAATAATAATAATAATTAGCTGGGCATGGTGGCACATGCCTGTAGTCCTAGCTACTTGGGAGGGGAATCGCTTGAACTTGGGAGGCGGATGTTGCAGTGAGCTGAGATTGTGCCACTGCACTCCAGCCTGGTGAAAAAGCAAGACTCCATCTCAAAAAAAAAAAAAAAAAGAAGAAGAAGAAAGAAAAGATCTGGTAACAGTTAATGAACAAAGGGGTATACTGAGGTGTGACTGTGACTGACTTCCTGTCTTGTCATGGCCTAGAAATTCAATTTTTAGTTTTTATGGGTTCTCCTTGGCCAAGAGGGGTCCATTCAGCCAGTCAGGGGCTTAGGATATACTTCACATATCATGGCTAAGTAGAGAATCTTGCCTTTTCTCTAAAGATGATATTCTACTGCTTTCAAGTTTCCAACAAAGTACAATGCAAGTCTGATTCTTTTTCTTTTTTGACAACTTTTTCTTTTTAAATGATAGCAAATAATAATTTGCTCTTCAAAGTTCAGGAATTTTACCTGATTTTGTATATATCATTTTTCATCAATTTAGTCTACCTTGGATTTCTGGGAGCTCTTTTAATTTATAAAATTAGGTCTTTAGCCCTCCTCCAATGTTTCTTTTATGTATCTAGAATGCCTGTAATTTTATATATTAGACCTCTTGACTTTTTCCTCCTGTTGCTTATTTTTTCTCTCCTAATTTCCGTATCACTTTTTTTTGCTGTATGCCTTGAGAGAGTTCTTCTACTTTACCTTCTAGGCCACTACAGTGACCTACTTCTTTTTCAATTTACTTACCAATATAATTAATTTTTTATATTTCTAGTAATTTTTCTTTATAACACTTGAATTTCATTATGTGGTTTAAAAATATATAAATATAAAATTTCTTCCCTTTTGGTGGAGATTATTATTTTATGACTTTTTCCCATTGGGCTTGGGTCTGGTTTTTGGAGGACCTGAATTAAAAGAAGCAGTTCTCTTTCCTTGTGCTGGCAATGTAGAAAGCAGGCAGGTTGTCATCTTAATTTTGACTCCATAAATAGAGGTTTGGGAACAGTAGATGCAAAAGAGGACTTAGGAGCCATACTTCCTGAGTCCAAATGCCAGCTCTTCTGTTTATTAGTGATCAATCCTTGGGCAAATTATTCAAATTCTATATCTCAATTTCCTTATCTATCCAATGGGGGAAAATAAGATTTAAAAAATTTAATTGTATGTGAGAAAATTCTTGAGGGGTTGTCATGACCATTAAAAAAGCCTACCTTTTTGAAGCACTAAGTATAGTTCCTGGCAAACATATTGGCTATTTTTAAAACTTCTTTCTGAAAATGAATGCATACATGGTAGAATACAAATTATTAAATCTGTGAACATTCTAGCTTCCCTGCTAGTGGTTCTCAACCTTGGCTCCACATATGAATCACTGAGAAGCACTTAGAAATCCTCCTACCTTATCTCAGACAAGTTAGATCAAGTCTCTAAACTTGGGGTTTCAAGGAAGTAGGAATTTTCAAAACTCCCCAGGTGATTCCACTTTGACGCCAGTGTTGAGAACAACTGCTTTAATACCTGTGCCAAAAAAAAGAAATCAATGTTTGCCTGTTGATCTACTCTCATACTGGTCATTGCTGAATTTCCCCAGACAGATTTTTTGGCTTTGCAGAATGCAGATCTTAAAGAGAATGAGGACTTCAGAATGTGGCTACATCTCAGATTCAAGGAGATTTGTAAAAGCTGTCAGTGATTTCCCATTGCCCTAAGATAGAGTCCTAAATTCTGTCAAGGCAAAGCTCATTGGTCTAGTCTCTTTGTGCCTGATGCTCCCACCTCCTGTCTCACTCCCACTATGGCTCACTAGGTTCTAGACAAAAGAGCCACTTTTCCCTTACTTTAACATGCCAAGCTCTTTCCTGCCTCAGGGCTTTTCTGCTGGTTGTGTCCTGTTCCACCTTTGACCTGGCCACTGCCCATTATTGCATAGACACAATCTACTAAAACTCACACAAAGAAAAAGAGATATACTGAACAGGGCTTTCTATTTTAAAAATTGAATCAATAATTAATAACTTTCCAAACAGAAATTACCAGGCCTAGATGTTTTCATTGGTGAAGTCTACCAAGGATTTAAGGAACAAAAGATACCAGTTCTTTACAAACTGTTACAGAAAACAGAAGGAGAGGGAACACTTTCTAACTCACTATTTATAAGGTCAGCAATTTTCCCTAATGCCAAATTACAAGAGAGAAAAACTGCAGACCCATATCTCCCATAAATATAGTTTCTGTAGGTCATGAATTCAGGAGCAGCTTTGTTGGGTGGTTCTGGCTTGAAGTCCCTCATGAGGTTGCAGTTAACATTTGGCCAGGCTGGAAGCTTGACAATGACTGGAGATCTATTTTACACAGTGCTGGTTGTTGGCAAGAGACCTCAGTTTCTCCCCATATGGGCCTCTCTGCTGATTGCTTTAGCGTCCTCATGACATGGTAACTGGCCTTCCCCAAAATGAGTGATCCCAGGGAAAGCAGGTTGAAGCAGCAATGTCTTTTATGGCCTAGCCTCAGAAGTCACACACTGTCATTTCATCTATGTCCTATGGGTAACACAGATCAATATTTAGTTCCCTATTCATTTTGGGAGGGGACTAAAAAGGTGCCATCCTAGAGATTGTTGATGACATCATACAATAGAATACGTTTCTGCAATGGGAAGCCATGAATTACTTATACATGCCACCATGCACAGAAAGCTCTGATATTATAGTGATAAAAGCCAGACACAACAGAGTACATCCTACATAATTCCATTTGTATGTTGTTCTAGAATAGGCAAAACTATGGTCTTGCCTCTGAAAAGAGGAGGGATTGACAGGAAATAACACAGGGGAATTTCTGGGATGATGGAAATGTTCTATATCTTGACAAGGGAGTGCTTCACATAGGCATATCATTTGTTAAAGTTGTACAGTTAAAAATATGTGTGTATTTCAATGTAGAAACATTCACCTCAAAAGAATAGGACCATAAAAAAAATCTAGCAGGGACTGGGAATGAGTGGTGGTCTAGATAAACAAGAATGGCAGCATGTCCATAAGGGTTGAAGTTAGGTCATGGAATTTATCAATGTATATTATATTAATCTGTATATGTTTAAATATTCCAAATGAAAAGTAATAAAACCCCAAAACAAAACCCAAGCTGTTTTGTGTAATAAGCTTCTTATTCCTTTGTGTAAGAGTGTATCTTCCCTTTTGTTTTACCATGCTAATTAAAAGAGCATTTATATCTCATGGAGGCTGTATTATTAATTACATACCAACAGGGTCAAGTCACCTTAACAATCTTAATTATAATTGAGAAGCCAAAGGTGGCTTCTCAACCCACTTCTGATGGGTGGGTAGTGAAAAAACCCTCCAACAGCCCAACCCTCCAAAATGTCATATTACTTATGTAAAAACTGGTGAAATCCATCCAGTTCTTAGGGAAAATGGGACAGCAATCATGGCACAAAGATGGCTCAGAGACCACGTGTCCTCTCAAGTCAGTTGACTTTTCCCCCTTTCTACCAGAGGGAAGCTGAGCAGGCAACCCAGTGATCTAGACATCTAGAGAGGACCTCCTACTTTTTTTGTAATATCTCCTATTTCTTCCCTTAAGGGCTCCAGGAGCATTTGGAGGTCGGGGTGGAGGTGAAAATTAAATGAGAGGAAAGGAATTTGTAAATTGGCACACAGGTTTGTTTACCATTCCTGAATCACTCCAGGATCTAATTCTAAATGCAGAAATACATATACATTCTCACAGACACCAGTGAACTTTCTGCCAGTACAGAACCAATAGCCCTCTAAAAGGAATGTGCAGAACAATGTGGTGATGTTAGAAAGCACAGAGTATATCCTGGAATCAGTAATAGTCCAGATGGCCTGAATACACGAGGCATTTTAGGAGAATAAATATTGAAAAGGCTAAAGAAGCATAGTGAGCCTTGTGCCTATTAGTATGCCTTATCTCATCAGGAGAAAAATGACCCCAAAAGTTTAAGAATGAGGTTTGGTTAATATAGCTTGGTGTAAAAAAATCATTTTTTGCAAAATGAATTACACAAACACTTTATGCATATCAGATTGGGACTCATCTTTTTTCACAGAATAGTAACACCAATAAATATAAAAGAAGAACCTTGCAGTTGTATGGCTCTTTAGTCATGTCGAATAGTATAGTAATGGTAAAACGTATTGGCTACTTAATGTCTACTAGAAACTGTACTAGGTACCTTAGGTGACTTAACTCCCTTGATCCTCCCAACTACGTCATGAGGTACTATTAATAACCCCAATTTATGGGCCGGACATGGTCTCACACCTGTAATCCCAGCACTTTGCGGGGCCGAGGTGGGTGGATCACCTGAGGTTAGGAGTTCGAGACCAGCCTGACGAACATGGTGGAACCCTGTCTCTGCTAAAAATAGAAAAATTAGCTGGGCATGGTGGCAGGCACCTATAATCCCAGCTACTCGGGAGGCTGAGGCAGGAGAATCGCTTGAACTGGGGAGGCAGAGGTTGCAGTGAGCCGAGATTGCACCATTGTACTCCAGCCTGGATGACAGAGTGAGACTCCGTCTCATAAAAACAACAACAACAGAAACAGGCCGAATGCGTTGGCTCATGCCTGTAATCCCAGCACTTTGGGAGGCCAAGGTGGGCAGATCACGAGGTCACGAGATCAAGAGCATCCTGGCCAACATGGTGAAACCCCATCTCTTCTAAAAATACAAAAATTAGTTGGGTGTGATGGCATGCACCTGTAATCCCCGCTACTCAGGAGGCTGAGGTAGTAGAATGACTTGAATCTGTGAGGCAGAGATTGCAGTGAGCCGAGATGGTGCCACTGCACTCCAGCCTGGCCACAGAGTGAGACTCCATCCCCAGCCCCCACCCCAGAAAACAATTTGTGGATGAGGAGCCTGAGACACAGGGAGGTTAAGTAAACAGGTTCACAAAGCTAGAGAGTGGCAGAGTTAGCATTTGAACCTAAGCAGTTGAGCTCCAGAGCCTGTGCTGCATTACCCTGTCACTCAAAGCTGACATGCTGTATTAGTTTTCTGTGGCTGCTGTAACAAATTATCACAAAGTTAGTGGCTGAAAACAACACAAATTTATTATCTCACAGTGTTGTAGGTCAGAAGTCCTAAAATCAAGGTTTTAGCATCACTGTGATCCTTTCTGGAAGCTATAAGGAAGAACACATTTTTTGGCCTTTTCCAGCTTCTAGAGCCCACCAATATTCCCTGGTTCATAACCTCCTGCCTCCATCTTTAAAACCAGCATCTCGCTGACTCCTCTGTTGTTACATCACTTTCTTTGACCATAGTTAGGAAGAGTTCTCTTTTGCATTTACCTATGTTGTTTGAATTGTGGTAAAAAACATAAAATTTACAATCTGAACCATTTTTATTTGTACAGTTCAATAGTGTTAAGTATATTCACATTGCTGTGAAATGGATCTCTAGAACTTTTTCACCTCTGAAATCTGAAACTTTGTACCCATTAAACATCTGTTTTCCCTTTCCCCTTATCTCCTGGTAACCACCATTCTACTTTCTGTTTCTGTGAACTTTAGATACCTCATATAAGCAGAATCATATGGCATTTATCTTTTTGTGACTGGCTTATTTCATTAAGCATAAGGTCCTCAATCCAGTTTCATCCATGTTGTAGAATGTGACAGAATTTCTTTCCTTTTTAAGGCTGAATAATATTTCACTGTATGTATATAATACATTTTGTTTATTCATTCATCCATGGAGGGACATTTGGGTTGCTTCCATCTCTTGACTGTAGTGAATAGCAATGCCATGAGCATGGGATTGAGACACTGCTATCTCTTTGGGATCCTGCTTTCAATTCTTTTGGATATATATACAGAATTGGAATTGCTAGATCATATGGTAGTTCTATTTTTAATTTTTTGAGGAACCTTTAAACTGTTTTCTATAGTGGTCACACTGTTTCACATCCCAACACAGTGCACAAGTTTCATTTCTCCACATAATTGTCCACACTTGTTATTTTCTGTTTTTTTGTTTTTGTTTTTGTTTTTTTGAGTTGTCATCCTAATGGCTATGGGTGATATCTTTTTGTGGTTTTGATTTGCATTTCTCTAATAATTAGTGATGTTGAGTGTCTTTTCATATGCTTATTTATTTGTATGTCATCTTTGGAGAAATGTCTATTCAAGTTCTGTGCCCATATTTTAATTGGATTTTTTGATTTTTCAGTTGTTGAGTTGTAGTTCTTTATATTCTAAATATTAGCCCCTTATCAGAGATATGATTTGCAATTATTTTCCCCAAAGAACACTCTGATTGTGTTCTTTGATGCACAAAATTTATAAATTTAATGTAGTGTCATTTGTCTATTTTTGCTTTTCTTGCCTGTGCTTTTGTTGTCATATCCAAAACATCATTGCAAAGTCAAATGCCATGAAGCTTGCTCCTGCATTTTCTTCTAGGAGTTTTAAAGTTTTAGATCTTATGTTAATGGGTTTGTTTTTTTTTTTTCAGACAAGGTCTTGCTCTGTTGCCCAGGCTGGAGTGCAGCCAGTGGCACAATCTTGGCTCACTGCAACCTCTGCTCTTGGACTCAAGAGATCCTTCCACCTCAGTCTCCTGAGGAGCTGGGACCACAGGGGCACACC